GTGAGAAGGTGGACCATTGAGCAGGGTGTCAGGGAAGACTTTGTCAGTGGCAGAGCTTGGGGTTGGTGGGTGGGAGCCTGGGTGGAAGATACATTGAGTTCACAGGAACCTGCCAAGAGTTTGCTGATGGAGTATATAGAGGCATAGGTGAAGGAGGTGGGTATGCTGAGGGAGCGAAGTGGGAAAGGAAGAAGGAGGGTCCAGTGGGCAGCGGGCCTGGCTTGAGTGGGGGGTGAGGGATTGGAGAGAAAGGCAGTTCCTGATGGTCCCCTCCCCAGGGGCTGGCTTTCCTCTGGTCTTTCCCTCCCAATGACTGCGTCTTCATCAAGATTGCACGTCTGGGCTCTGCGCCAACATCTCCAGCACCAGGCTACCTGGAGATCCATCATTTGCCTTCCTATGGAGAGTGGAACCCTCCTTATCACTGTTGTCTCGAGGGCTGGTCTGCTAGGATGGCAGGGTCCTAAAGCTGAACCAAGGGCCCTTTCTTTTTGACAATGGACAAGGGTTTCTCCTGTCAGCAGTCTTGCCCAGCAATGGGGCTTGCAGTCAGAGAGTAGACCAGGACTGAGGGTCTACCCTTCTTCTCTGATACTATAGAATGGTGTGTTCCTGGTGGGCAGTCCTTACAAGAGCTCTTCATCATCCCTGGACTTGGGCAGCTGCTGGGCACTGAGCCAATGGGATTATGGTAGGGATTGGCTAACAGGCTTTCTCTCATGACCTCAGCTTGGCAGGTTCTCATGTCAGGGAAAAATTGGCTCCTCCAGGGTGAGGGCACTGTGTCTTCTGGTCATGTGGTGGTTACTGGGATCCCCTATCCACAGTACCTGAGAGGTGGGATACGTGAGACTTTTCTAAGTCTCAATATGCTTCTTATCTCCCTGCACTGCCAAGGATGATTCTGCTGATCCATCTCATCAGTTATGTCCTATTTGAATAATCCACTGTTGTTCAACGCCTCACACCAAAAAATAAAATAAATAAAAATAAAGAAAAGAAAAAGTAAGGAAAGAAAAGTTCCCTGCTGAGCTTTAACTTGTGACTTATGGTTCCTATATTCCTATAGCTTATGGCTTTCATTTTTAAAGAACTTTTTTTTTTTTTTGTACCAGGGATTAAACTCAGAGGCATCTGACTACTGAGGCACATCCCCAGCCCTATTTTGTATTTTATTTAAAGAATCTCACTGAGTTGCTTAGTGCCTCACTTTTGCTGAGGCTGCATTTGAACTTGCCTCCTGCCTTAGCCTCCCCAGCCACTGGGATTACAGGTGTGCACCACCAAACCCAGCAAGAACTTTCTAAAAATTCCTTTAGTGCTTTGTAAACTTTCTGGTTTACTGGCTCAATTCCTCTCAGTTGCTTTTATTTTTCTGGAATTAGAGTTTTTTGATCTATGATATATGTGTGGATCCCTTTCTGCTGGTCCTTACTCCTGGTGTTTGTATCCAGGTATCTACCAATTGTGGGCACCCTCAATATGAACCTCAGTCTAATCCATGGAAGTCTGGCTGAATCAGGACTTTCCCCCTGTTTTTGCACATTGTTCTCAGAGCCCCTGGGGGTGACTGTGGATGTAGCTTACCCTTACTTACATGTGTTTATCTTATTTACTTTGAGAATCTAATTTGGGGGAGGATCCTCTAGGAATTAGATTCCCTATATTGATGAAGGACCCTAAGCCTTGTCTTCTGTGCCCTTCTCCTATGAGGCTACCAGAACCTAAGCCTAGTTTGTCCTTACAGATGCTTTGAGCCAGAAACAGCCACTGTGCCCTGCTTTCCTTTCTGGGTCCCTATATTCTCTGAGATATTTTCCAAATCCTTGGTGATCTTGGCTTCTTTTCAGATATTTTCATATTTTTTCAAGTTTTTTTTTTTTTTTTTGGTACCAGGGTTTTACCCAGGGCCACTTAACCACTGAGCCATATCCCAGCCCTTTTTATTTTTCATTTTGAGCAAGGGTCTCACTAAGTTGCTTAGATCCTCAGCTAAGTTGCTGAGGCTGGCTTTGAATTTAGGATCCTCTTGTCTCAGCTCCTGAGCCACTGGGTTTACAAGCATGCACTGCCACACCCATTTTTCCCCAAGCACTTTGGTGTATTTTTACTAAGAATGTTGGCCTAATAGCCTGCATACCAGTTCTGGATTCTTACATTACCCTGAGATGATGGTCTTCAGTGGGCACTGCCAGGGCACCCAGGGAGAGAATCCAGTCTGCGCCTGACCTCTGGCCTCATTCTGTATAGGAACCTTCATGTTTGGCATCCCTTTGGCTCAGTGTCCTATGAAAGGCAGTGACTAGCAGCCCATTTACAATGGCTGAATGTCTCCCAGCACCCTGTGCTTCTGCAGATGGTTCTCATAACCATAGTGACACTTTACTTGCATAGCCACTGGCTCCTTCCTAGGGCAGAATATTGGCCCCTAGTGGTTATATTAACTCTTTTGCCTGCAGGGCCCTGGAACAGAGCAGAAACCATGGGAGAAGGATGTGTATGTAGGTGGAGGAACACAGGTTGGAGAGCTCTGAGCCTCAGCTGAATCCTGAGGGCTTTTTCCAGAGCCTGGTGGGACTGGGTCCTTGGTGGTCCCAGTGTGTAGCTGTGGGAGCTGGCAGGGAAAGTAGCAGTTCGTGGATGGAAAGTGGAGCCCTTGTGCCTCTCCCCTGACTTCTAGGCTTGACCAGTGAGCAGGAGACATCATGACATTGTCTAGGAGAAGGGCTGTGAACTTGGTAGTGTCCCCATGGCTGTTAACCCAGGTGTTCACTGAAGGCTATGACCAAAGCCCCTGCTATTCCCCTGGTGCCAGCTCTGGCTTTGATAGCAGGGTTGGTGCAGTGGAAATGCCTTTGTTTTATGCTGAGATGCAGAGTCTGAAAAGTTGTTATGTCAGATTCCCAAGAATTTGGAGTCATCGCACCATTTCAGAGGGGGAGGTTTCAGTGAGGCCTCTTTTTTTAAGAGGCTGGCTGTGGCCATTGTTGGGAGTTCCTGGCCTGAAACAGTGAACCAAGAGCCTTCCCCAGCTCATGCTTGCTGCTTATACACCAATAGGGAGGCTTTGGGGGTCTTTACCCAGAATGATGCCCTGTGTGCCTGCTCTAAGACCTTGGGCAGAGGAGCAGGAGTGCTTATGAACTGTTGAGACTTGGAGACAGAATGGGCTGGGTCTGGGACACCTCACTTGAGTAACCTTGGTCTCCTTTCCTAGCAAGGGCCTGGATACACAGACTCACTTTATAGGTATGCTGCCTCTTGAGGAGGAACCCAAGCTCTAGTGGGTACCATATGCTTAACATCTGGGACCAAGGCCACTCTAGGGACCCTCCTTACCCCCGATGGTGTTCCAAGATATAGCACGGTCCTCCCTGACTCCTAGGGTTCCCCAAGATATGGCATGACACTCCCCAACCAAGGGTTAACCAAGATAAGGCACTCAGACCTCTAGGGTATCTTCTGCTAATGTGCTTGGGGAGCTCAGTGGCCTCCTTGAAATATTCATATGCTCACAAATGCAGGTATATACAGATGCTATTCATATACACACAAGTACATATATTAGTTGGCTTTCTGTCACTATGACAAAATACCTGTGAAAATCAAAGGAGGAAAGATTTTTTTTTTTAATTTTAATGTTTATTTTTTTACTTTTCGGCGGACACAACATCTTTATTTGTATGTGGTGCTGAGGATCGAACCCTGGCCGCATGCATGCCAGGCGAGCACGCTACCGCTTGAGCCACATCCCCAGCCTAGGAGGAAAGATTTATTATGTTTCATGGATTAAGATTGTGGTTGGTTACACTATTCCTGGGCACGTGGTGAGGCAGAGCATCATAGTGGAGAGGATGTGGTATAACAGAGTTGCTTACCTCATGGTAGCTCAGTGACAAGGGACAAATATGCCCTTCCAAAGTTCATAACTAGTGTCCTACTTTCTCCAATTAGGCCTCACCTCTTAAAGGTTACACTATCTCCTAATAGCACCACAAGCTGGTAATTAAACCTTAGCACTTGGCCTTTGGGGGACATTTCAGATCCAAACCATAACACATGTGTACAAAGAAACACACAAAGACTTATTCATGCACTTACATACCTCAGCAGACTCACTTCTGTATATACACCGAATATCCATATGCATACCGGTTTGTTAGACTTTTTTGGGAAGAATATGTTTGGCTCTCTTAGTATTAAAACAGCTTCTTGGTTGTTCCATGTCTTGGCTGCAGACATTAGCTCTGCCTGAAGCTATATGACTGAATCATTGCACACGTATAGTCTTCAGGGACCTTTGAGTCACTTTTACATGTTGGTGGCATTAATATCTAATCTGTTTTCAACTTAGTTGTGGGAAAATGCTTGCTTGGCTCCAGGGGCTCCCAGGCACAGGGTCTGGGGTCTGTGTGGCAAGGGAGTGGGCACTTAATCCATGCTTGCCCAACACCTAGGTGTGTGTGCACATTGCCAGCACATGTCCCTGCCTGCTGATGTGGATGTCCAGGGCTCCTGTGTCCTATGGGGTGGTGGGCATGAGCTGGATGAAGGCCTGCCAGGGACATATGCTGCACAGCATCCCAGGTGAGTGGGGTGTAGTTAGTGTCCTGCCTTAAGGTGCCATGGGCTGAGATGAAAGTGCCTCCCTTGGTTGCTTGTGGGGAGGATTTGGTACCATTTCAGGGGAGGGTATGCTACCTGCTGGCCCTAGCTACATGCGTGGTTCCTAGTCTCACTGTTGCCATTCCCTCCACACCCACTCACCACCCCCATGTGGTGTGTCCAGGGCCTGTGAACATCATGGGTAACTGCGATACAGAGTGACTATGCTGATTAGTGCACAGGTGAAGACAGATGTTTATGCAGTGCCAGCAAGCATGTGATTTTTGCCTGTTCAGCCCTGCTTGCTGGCATTTCTGTTCTAGGCTGTTGTAAGTTCATTGAGGCTATTCTATCATCAGTCATTTATTCAACTTATTATTTTCCTTTTCCTGCAGACCTCATTGAACCTGTTGCAAAGCCATCCCTCGCAACCCATGTGCATCATCTTCTTTAAGTTTGATCCTCACCCTGTTTCCAAAAATGCATACAGGTAACACTCTGGCTCTGCATCTTTCATGTTCTGCTGGGTCTGGGATGCCTGGCTGGTTCTTTCCCAGTCCTGTGTACCACATGCAGGACGGGTGAGAGCAGATCAGAGGGCATGTAGACTGAGCCCTGGATGGCTGAGTCCTGGGTTTAATCTCTAGTACCTTAAAAGGAAACAAATAAACAAAAAAACCCAAACCACTGTTTTTGCAGTAATTTGATATCTATCATAGAAAACCAAGATAACATGGTCATACTATCACATAACCACCATCTTTTAAAAAGATGTTTTTTTACACTTACATGCTGAAGTCCTTTGTTGCCTACAACCTGGAGTGGCTACTGTACAGACTGTCACTCCTTATGGTAACTTCTGTGGGGTTATCACTGAGGCCCTGATCAATGGATCACAGCACCTGCTACCTGCTGCCATACCACCCCTCAGATGGTGACTGACCCAGCCCCAAATGGTCACAGACTCACCTTATCATGATACACATACCTTCCCGCAGACTCATCCCAAACCTTGCATAGACACATCCCCCTGATGTTGCACACACTCATCTCCCCCCAACAATGTACCCTTTCATCTCCCCGATGTTGCATATGCTCACTTACCCCAGCTGTGTGAAGAGTGCTTGGTGGTGATGGATAATCAGTGGTTTCAGTTAATGGAACAGAACCAAACCAGTGGATGATTTGCCATGTGATGCACAGCCCTTCACCATGGTGTTTTATCACTCAGACCCTGAACATTGGCATAGATGAACTTTCATCTGCATTGCAGTCTCAAGTGTTGACTGAGGGAATTACTTCCTCCTCTCATCTAGGGCTCTAGGCATCAGAGTAGGTAGTCATCACACTCATTTCTTTCTGAATTATGTATTTAATGAAATCCCAGGCAAGGCAAATCTCTGGCAATTCAGCTAAACAGTGTCTCCTATGGTAAAATAACCTATAAATTAATGTTCCTAAATTATTAGGCAGATACATTCCTATTGAAAAATAGGCAATTGAACATCTTAAGGTTGAAGACTGCTTTAATAAGCTTTTAATTTCCTTATTATTAGTATTTTTTCCTTCCCTGTAACCTTATGTAAGAATTGGTACCCAGAGACAACAGCCTGGCTTTGGACTGTGGAGTTTATTATCCTCTCCTTGGGAGGGCTGGTTTTATCCAGCAGGGGCCTCCCTACTACCCCATCTTCCACTCACCCTCAGAGATCTTGGAGGTGAGAAAAGAGAAGAAATATTCTTTTTTTTTTTTTTTTTTAAAGAGAGAGTGAGAGAGATAGAGGTAGAGAGAGAGAGAATTTTTTTTTAATATTTATTTTTTAGTATTTGGCGGACACAACATCTTTGTTTGTATGTGGTGCTGAGGATCGAACCCGGGCCGCACGCATGCCAGGCGAGCGCGCTACCGCTTGAGCCACATCCCAGCCCCAGAAATATTCTTTTTAAGAGAGAACACTTGAATAGGACCTTGTGGAAATTGACTTCCACCCCCACAGGGACCATAGGGGCTTCAACCCAGTCCCTAGTGTATCTTTACTGTAGCTTATCTGTCTCCTCCCACTCAGGGACCTCCTCCTAACCACTATTCAGGCACAGCTGAAGCCACGACTGACCTATACAGGTCCAGGGACAGACATGATGCCTGTTAGAATGGTGTCAGTCAGGATGGCCCTAGGGCCAGGAAAGGTGGGCACTGCTGCTGCCTCTGCTGCAGAGGTTGGGGACACCTTTGACTAGAAGGGACAGAGGAAATGTGGTAGGAGATGTAGGCTGGAGTCTGGGTTGAAACTTGGCACTTGAAGGTGCAGAGGGTTATTTTGCGTATGGCAGATTCTTTTTTTTTTTAAATTTTGATTTGTTATATATGACAACAGAATGCATTACAATTCATATTACACATATGGAGCACAATTTTTCATATCTCTGGTTGTACACAATGTAGAGTCACATCCTTCGTGTCTTCCTACATGTACTTAGGGTAATGATGACCATCACATTCCTCCATCGTTCCTATCTCTATGCCCCCTCCCTTCCCTTTTCCCCTTTGCCCTATCTAGAGTTCATTTAATTCCTACCCCTCCCAGCAGCATATTGTGAATGGCTGATTCTTGTATCAGGGACAGTGGACAGACCATTCCCTCCTCACCCTGGGTGGCACATACCTGATGCAGCCCTGGAACCAGCTATGTGGATGGGATAGAGAGGGGCCACATAGGGTGCCCTGAAGATGGTGAGGCTTCTGTAGGAGACCCAGAGGGTTCGAGGGAAATGCACAGTCCCTGGCCAGACCTGACACCTCCTGCCAAAGAAACTCACTATAAAATAGGATGGAGCAGCCCTCAGAGGGCTGCTGACATTCAGCATATGTCTTCAAGTTCCTTTTCATGCATGCTTACATTCCAGGAAGCCTACAGGCTTGCTGTAGGTATTCTCAAGGAATGGGACAGATGGTCAGAAGAAGGGATGGTTCCCCATTCTCTAGTCTAGGCCCCCAGGATGTGCTTGATGATTCCATTCCTGATCCTCACTTGCCCAGCACCTGGTCCTGCCACTGGCTGGGACCTTTTGGGGTGGGCAGGGGCTCTGTGTAGTATGGAACAAGGGTGTCCCATGAGCCCTGGCAGACCTGTCTCTTAGCACTAAGCCAGGTAGTCTTACATCTTTTCCCAGGACCTGTCTGTTTCTTGGGTAGGGGCTCTGAGTGCTATCTCCCTAGGGGCTACCTGAAGCCTCTATATACTTTTATCTGTTGTTGGTTTGGCAAGGGCTGAAGGGTTTCTATCATCTTTAGGTCTTATCCTTATTGCTACTCCTATAAATTTTATATATTAGCAAGAGAAGCTGGGGGTGTAATTTAGTGGTAGAGTATATGCTAAGCATGTGCAAGGACCTGAGCTCAATCCCCAGCACAAAAGAGAGAGAGAATGTGGATTTTCTGTTTCAATCCGAGATGGCCAGTCATACTTTTTTCTCCTAGGTTCATTCTGGCAGCCAACAGGGATGAGTTCTACCACAGACCATCCAAGTTGGCAGGCTTCTGGGGGAACAACAATGAGATCCTCAGTGGTAAGTCTTATTTCACACCTGGTAGGTAGCCATTCAGCATGGCCCCACTCAGGCTCCTGGGGTGTCATGAAAGTGCAAGTCACAGAATGATCCTAATAATATCCTTGCTTCCAAGTGTAAGTACCAAATGTGTGCAAGGATATGGTGAACCTTGGGATCTGGGTCAGCATTGAGTTATCCAGCCCCAGCATTGAGAACCACCCAGTGTCCTTGTGGTTTTACATGCCCTGTGACCCCTTGAAGAAGTAAGTAGTCAGACTACATGTAGGAGCTATATCACTTCTGAGGCATCCTAATTGTGTGTGCATGTACGTACGTATGTTTGTGTCTGCATTATTGTTTCTACTTATCTTCTCTTGCTGCAGGGAAGATGGGCTGAATTGGTGGAGCAAAGGCTTGGGTGGGGCACATTTTGTATTACTAGAAATATCTTTTTTAAAACAATTTTTTAGATGTTGATGTACCTTTATTTTATTCATTTATTTGTATGTGGTGCTGAGAATTGAACCCAGTGCCTCTCACATGCTAAGCAAGCTCTCTACCACTAACCACAACACCAGCCCTGAAATATTATCATTGATTGCATGGATGGTACATCTCTACATCTTGTACAACCAGAGAATTGAAATGTTGCACTCCATTTGTGAACCATGAATTGAAATGCATTTGCTGTCATGTACAACTAAGTAGAACAAATAAAAATAATAATTAATTTAAAAAATGTTATAATTGAGTTTTGTTTTGGATTAGGTAAGTTATTACAAGAACCATGTTTAGGCTGGATACATGCCTATTGATCCCAGTGAATCAGGAGGCTAAGGCAGGATGATCACAAGTGTGAGGACATCCTGGTCAACTTAGTGAGACTCTTCCTCCAAAAAAAAAAAAAAAAAAAAAAAAAATGCTGGGAATGTAGGTGCTCCTGGGTTCAATCCTTAGTATTGGGGGGAAAAAAAGAAAGTTTAAGCAGGGTATAGTGGCACATACTTGAAATCCCATATACTCAGTAGGCTGAGGCAGGAAAATTTTAAGTTTGAGGCCAAATTCAGAAGCCTAGGGAGACCCTATCTCAAAATAAAAAGGGCGGAGGATGTTGCTCAGTGGTAAAATGCCCCTGGGTTCAATCCCAGTACCAATAAATAAATAAATAGATGCCATTTTGGTCCTTTCAGGTCTTCTGCTTAAGATTTGATAGGTTTGGAACTGTGTAGCCTGTTCAGGGCTAATTATTACATGTTTTTTCTAATCTGACTTCTAGGATTGGTATTATGTGTAAGCAGTGTCCGGGTCTAATCCTTCTGGTTGGTTCAGATAATTTGTGCACTGATTAGAACTCTGGTGTTCTCTGTGTGGCTCTCCTCTCTGATCTTCTTTTTATGAACTCTGGTTGCCTCTGTATCCCCCAACTCTCAGTCTCTGCCCTCAGCTCAGGGAGTCTGCTGATCTCTTCCTGGCTGCCCCGCCTCCCACCTCCCCTTTGCTGGATCCTGGGGACTTTCCAGTCATGGAACTCATCTCATTTGCTTCTTGTCTCTCATCTCCTTTATCTCAAAAGTCCTTTATTCACATATTTTAATTTTTGGTTGTTCTATTTGGGAGAGAAAATCTGGATCCTGTTGCTTGGTCAGATAGGAAAGCTGTTCTTCTTCTTCTTCTTTTTTTTTTTCTTTTTTTGGTACCGGGGATTGAACTCGGGGGCACTCAATCACTGAGCCACATCCCCAGCCCTATTTTATGTTATTAGAGACAGGGCCTCACTGCGTTGCTAAGTGCCTTGCTGTTGCTGAGGCTGGCTTTGAACTCATGATCCTCTCACCTCAGCCTCCCGAGCTGCTGGGATTACAGGCATGCACCACCGCGCTGAGCAAGCTGTTCATTTAAAAATTATTAGTTTGGGCTGGGGATGTGGCTCAAGCGGTAGCATGCTCGGCCAGGGTTTGATCCTCAGCACCACATACAAAGATGTTGTGTCCACTGAAAACTAAAAAATAAATATTAAAATTCTCTCTCTCTCTCTCTCTCTTTAAAAAAAATTATTAGTTTGTAGGATTTCTTTATGCATTCTGGATGTGCATCCTTTGTTGATAAATGTATTGCTTACTCATTTCTTGAATGATTTCTTTTGGTGAGCAGATTTTAGCAAAATGCATTTTATCTACTCTTTTACGGTTTCTTCTTTTTGTGTTGTATTTGAGAAATCTTTGCCTCCATTAGGTCATAAAATGTTTTCCTATTTTGCTCCCTCTGTTTTGCCTTTCGATTTTGAGATCTATGCTTTGGTTTATGATTTATCTCAAGTTAATTTTTATACATTGTATAAGGTAAGGGTTGAGGGTCATCTCCCTTCCATCTCTCTGGTTATTCCAGCATCATTTATTAAAATGGATACTCTTTTGCCTGTTAGCATCTTGGTTGTAAGTCAGTTGAACATATTTGTATCCCATTGATCTGTGTGTCTCTCTTGATGCCAATACCACAATATCTCAATTAATGTCCTTTTGAGCCAAGTGCAGTGGCAAACTCCTGTAGTCTCAGCTACTAAGGAGGCTTAGGTAGGAGGATCACTTGAACCCAGAAGTTCAAGACCAGTATGGGCAACATAGTGACACTCCAATCTCAAAACAACATAGTGACACTCCAATCTCAAAACAACAACAACAATTTAGTCCTTTATAGTGAGTCTTAAAGTAATGTGAGTTCTCCAGCTTTGTTCTTTTTCAGGACTGTTTGGGCAATCCCAATTCCTTCACATGTCCATAAACATTTTATTAGCTTGCCAATCTCTGTGTAATTAAAAAAAAAAACTGAGGGGATTTTGATAGGGATGGTGTTCATGGGCCAGTTGGGGAAGAAGTTGGGTCTTCCATTTGGCATACAAGATGGCACACTTCTCCTTGGTCAGCTTGACTTCCTTCTGCAGTGTTCTCTGGCTTTCTATCTTTAGGTGTCATGTGTTTTTTTTTTTTTTTTTTAGAGAGAGAGTGTTAGTTTTAAAATTTATTTTTAGTTATCGGCGGACACAACATCTTTGTTTGTATGTGGTGCTGAGGATCGAACCGGGCCGCACGCACGCCAGGTGAGCGCGCTACCGCTTGAGCCACATCCCCAGCCCTCCATATGTTTTTCATTAAATGTTTTCCTAACTATTTTAAAAATCATACTAAGCGTTTTGTTAACACTGTTGTCAATGGTATATTTAAAATTTCTTTTTCTAATTATTTTTTAATTTATTTTTTAATTATAGGTGGATACAATAGCTTTATTTTTATGTGGTGCTGAGGATCGAACCCAGTGCCTCACACATGCTAGGCGAGCGCTCTACCTCTGAGCCACAACCCCAGCCCTCTAATTCTTTTTTTTAATCATATTTATTTATTTATTTATTGGTGGTGCTGAGGATCGAGCCCAGCTCCTCACATGTGCTAGGAGAGTGCTCTACTGCTGAGCCACAACCCCAACCCTCTTTTTCTAATTCTTGCTCATGTTTACTTACTGGCTTTAGTAGATTGTTTTGGGTATTGCTTTTAGATTTTCTTAGTATATAATCTTGTCATCTACAAATAAAGACAGTTTTGCTTCTTCCTTTCCATGTTTACATTTTATTTCTTTTTCTGTTATAATTGATCTTTGTTATAAAAATGACATTTTAGGGCTGGGGATGTGGCTCAAGCGGTAGCGCGCTCGCCTGGCATGCGTGTGGCCTGGGTTCGATCCTCGGCACCACATACAAAGAAAGATGTTTTGTGTCCGCCGAAAACTAAAAAATAAATATTAAAAAAATTCTCTCTCTCTCTTTAAAAAAAAAAATGACATTTTAGTGACTTAGGAAAATGATCCTCTAGTCTAGCAAGGCTCCCCCTCTTGTGACTCTTTTTGTTTTTTGTAGCAGGTGCTGGAGGTCTAATCCAGGGCCTCCTACATGCTAGGCAAGCATTTTACCACTGAGCACACTCGCTCACCCCAATGCCTGTTTTTAAGGGCCTAGTAGATCTTGTGGTATGGTGTGGTAGCCCATGCAGGACTGACCACTGACTGGGCCTGTGCCAGTTTCCAGTAGATGAGGCAGCCTGGCCTGGTTTCTGCATGGAAGTGACTTCCAAAACTGGTTCAAGCATGAGGTGTGTTCTGTAGAAGTCACAAAGGGACTACCTGATTTCAGGGCCCTCTGTTGGTGTCATGATGGGTATAGTTGGTGCCCATGTTAATCTGTATCATCTGCACCTCTTGTATCCTCAGGGGCTGCCTCACCTTGCAGAGTTAGAGCCCATTCAATAGGCTAGGCTGTTAGACCAAGCTGTGCATTGCTGTGTGTCCTCATGGAGCAAAGGAGTTTGTTTCCCAGGAGACAGGGACCAGGAGGGAGACCAGAATGGGTTGATGCCCTTCATGGTGAGTATTGCTGGTGGTAACACTGTTGCCTGCTACCTGCTACAGGGCTTGACATGGAAGAAGGCAAAGAAGGAGGCACATGGTTGGGCATCAGCACACGGGGGAAGCTGGGGGCACTCACTAACTACCTGCAGCCACAACAGGATCCAGAGGCCCGTGGCAGAGGTAAGTTGGATAGGGTAGAATGGGACCTAGGCAGGGCAGAGCCAAGGCATAGCAGGTAAGGTGGGTGGGCTAGGGACAATTAAGGCAGTCAGGAGTCATGTTGTAAGGGCTTCTTCTGATATACCTCACCCACCTTGATCTGCTTCTGGGCCATGTGGCAGAGACAGGAGAGGAGTCACCATGGGAGTCACCTGAGACTTGTTTATCTCAGTGAGTGAGCTCCAAGCATATTACTTCCCAAAGTGTCACGCTAAGGGGCTGGGGATATAGCTCATGCTAGAGCACTTTGCTAGCATGTGTGAGGCCCTGGATTTAATCTCTAGCACTGGTTAAAAACAAAACACCAAAATGTCACTCTTAATCACTGTGTCAGCCTCTTGAATGTTGCAGAGCATATGTCTGCCCCAAGAGCACACATAAATATGTTCCCAGTGAAGTTTTCTCCTTTCATGCTGAATTTCTCTATGGAGGCATAATGGGGAAAACTTTTTTTAACTGAAAAAAATCAGATTTCTTGGTGTCAACCTCAGTGGCAGTGCAGTCAATGAGGTGTGGCTCTAGTGGGACCCTTTTCCTTCCTGCATCCTCCTGAAGGGGCCTCACTCCTGTATTCCCAGGAAGAAGGGTTTACCCTGTTTCCTCAGCCATGTGTATCCCCTGCCTATAGGTGAACTTGTGGCCCACTTTCTGACCACTGATATGGACAGCTTGTCCTACCTGAAGAAGGTCTCCACAGAGGGCCACCTATACAATGGCTTCAACCTCATAGCAGCTGATTTGAGGTGGGTCTACCAGCAGGGGGACAGCCATGCTACCCAGCACTGCTTTGAGGGCCAGGTCTACAGATCATTGGAAAGCAGGTTCAACTCTACCAATCAGCTTGGCAGCCTTTCCTAAGAAGTTGTTTCTGGTGGGCTTGGCAGGCATCCTGAGGACCTACCTGTTTCAGACCCATCAACTTGGGAACTAAGAACATAGCCTAGGGCTTCCTGTGACAGTGTGAGGCTTCTTTCTTCCTGACTCTAGAGAACTGAGGTGGGGACCTGGCAGTGTAGGACTGTGAAGGGCAGCCTGTTTGGAGAGGCTTGGCTAGGTTGCTCCTCACTTCCCATAAGCAGGTTTCACAGTGCAGCCTATGGCAGCCCTAATCAAATACTATGCTCCCAGGTGACTCTCACATTAGAGATGTAGCCATAGGAACTGGAGAGGTTTTGTATGTTTTGCCTTTTAGTGAAGGGAGCATCCTTCCTATGCTTCCCTGTCCTCTCCTAGGTCCTCTTCCTCCCTTCTCTGAAGCCAAAGAAGCCAGTGAATGCTGTTAGCCTAGGGGCTTCCTCCAGTACAGATAGTGAGGGAGGCCATTAGTATTCTTTGGTTAGCCCATGTTCAGATGCCCATCCTGAGCTGCCTCCTTCTGTGAGGGGAAGTCAATGGACCTCTGGGCTCTTAAGACCTAGGCTTCTATTCCTTTGAGAATCCATTTCATGTGTCATTCTTTGCCTCATCTCTGTACCACATGGCTAGACAGACTCAGTGTGGAGGTTGAGCAAGCTGTAATAACCAATAGGAGGAAGGCCCAGGGTAGAGGCTGATTATGAATTTGCTGCCAAGAGTTCTCCTTTCTGTTGACCTTTAGCTCCTGAAGACCAAGTCCATGTGCTGTCTAGGCTCTCCATACTTGGTTACCACTGTCAGTAGTTCCATGCTTATCTGACCCAGCCCTAAGAAACCAGACTAGCAACTATGATGCTAGTGAGACTGGGTGTTCAGCAGCTGTGTTGCGTGTCCAGGGAACTAGGGAGTTGTCCTTTGAATGGATGTATGGTCAAATGTGAGGGCCTATATCTCTGGGAGCCTAATTAGCTGTCCTGGTTCCTGGTTCAGGGGCCTGCTATCCCAACGCCACCCAAGAAGTTTGACAGTGGCCAGAAGAGCATCCTGTGGTTAGATGGAAGATGGTGCCAGGAAAGCAGCCCTGTTGGTGGGTGCTAATGAGGAAACCAAGACCTCTCCTAGGTCAGGCCCTCCTTTTGCCTGGCCTCTGGTGACACTGGCATTAGTTCCAGTATCTATTTCTATAGGCCCATAGGCAAAAAGTTTAAAAGAACTTTTGCCAGAAAATAAAATCTCTGAAGTCATTAGCCAAACATCTTGAGGAAATTGCCAAGGATTGTAGTGAGGAAGAATGTGAAAGAAATGTGAGTACAGGCTAGGGGTTCTAGATGCCTGTGTGGACTGGAGGGTGGTTGGAGAGTGAGGGAGGAAGGGCAGGTCTCTAGTACTCAACATCTGCCCCTTACCCTGCATTTGTCTGTATTGAAGACAAGGGTCTCCTTGTTCAGCTTTTTGTCTTGGGAAGATGCCTCACAGGTTATAAAGAATCCCTATTTATTTATTTGAGACAGGGTCTAGGTTAGTTGCCTAGGTGGGCCTTAAACTTGCAATCCTCCTGTCTCAACCTTTCAAGTAGCTGGGATCACAGGGGAGTCCCTCTTTAGTTTGCAAAAAAGGTATTCCAAGTTCTAGCAGAAAGACTTACTGCAGTATTGAGGAACTGGGATATCTTTAGCTGTGGAGCAGTTTAAAGTATTTTTAAAATCTGCAGTTGGTATACAAAAATATGTTTTCATATGGCACTTTGTTGAGAAGTCTATGTCGCCGTGAGACCAACTGCCCAGGAACAGTTTGAGATCAATTGTGGAGGTGGGGGCCTTGGCCCCCTGGAGTGTTCGGGTGTTTGTTGGGGTGGGGCCCAACTCTGATATTATCACCACATGCCTATGCTATGTGGCATTCAGCCATGCTGTGCTGTGCCTCCTAGGCTGGTGGTCCCCAAGGTGAGCCAGGAATATACCTGTGATGTTAGAAGGAGCCAGGGTCTCCATGACTCTGGCTTCCAGTATCCTAGCCTGGCTAAAGTGGACCATTGTTTTTGCGTTGGCTCCCATTGGGGCTCTGGGAATAGGGCCATGAGATCAAACTGCGCAATGTGGGGGCAGGATACCCTGTGGCTCCCATCTTACCTTCTTCTCCCCTTCCTCTATCTACAGCACAACAAAAGGAGACTTGGTTTGCTACTATGGAAACCGGGGGAGGCCTGAGCCCATTGTCCTGACACCAGGTGAGTCTGTTCTGGGAGTCTGACGGAGAAGGGGGCTGCTCCTAATGAAGGGGATAACCTATACTTTTTAGAGACCAGGACCCTGTTGCAGCACTTTCCTGGGACTTTTTGGCCATTTGATGCCTAATGATCTGTACAAGATTGTGGCCCATACCTGCCACAAGAGAGCCTTATACCCTCCCTACTGCCTTTCATGGGCTTTTCCTATAGACTAAGACTGCACTTGCTCTGGACTTCCCATCTTAGCCCCAAAGCCCAGCTGGTGACCTCCAACCCCACTTTACAGCCCCATCACCAGCCCCACCTCCCGTAGCCTCATCTTGCCTTAGATCCTTTAGGCTCCACCCAGGCTCCTCCCCTTGACCTCTTCCCCATGCACAAGCACCACATGCTAACTTGTCACAAATGCATACCTCCTGCATCTGGCCACATGCTGGCCCATGTTCTCAGAGACTTGTCTCTCCCATCACCTGCCTGCCTCCCCCTGTACCCCAGAGCATACTCTGCCTGGACCATCCCCTCCCTCTAGCTACACCTTTGCCCAGGCTGTGCCTTCTGCTGCTCTGCCCTTCTGTTCCCTTCTTCTTTAGGTGTTATGATTTCCTGAAAGCCTCCTCTGTCAGCATCCGTCCCCACAATCTGGGCAGAGAGTATTACATTGCCTTTCCCACTATAAACTACTTTTGGGAGGAGGTCTGAGTCTTCAGGACAGAGCAGGAACCCCTGGGAAATAGCACAAATGGGGTCTAGCACAGTATATCAGGTAAACAAAATTCCGGGACCAGAACCCTGCCTTCAGGCCTGCTTCCTCCCTCCCCAGCTTGCTGCTTGAGGCCTGTTCTCACTGGTGACATCTTAGGACTACAGAACTCAGACACCCACTCTGGTCCCTATATCTGAGCTGTTGGCCCATATCAGATGACCCAGCCCACGGGAAGAGTGTCAACATCCTTGGTATCACCCTCATCCCTGCCTCTTTGAGCAGTGTTCTTTCGTAGTATAGTTTTTGTGTCCTCAGGACACAGGGATTTTCTCTGCAGTTGGCACCAGTCACCAAGTGAGGTCGCAGGACACAGGTCCTTCCTTCCCACTGGGGGTTAATGGTGCACATTTATGCTAGCATCTATTCCTCATGCTGGCCCAGTTACCACAAGGTGCTCTGGAGCCATAGTGGGACCCCAGCTCCCACCTTAGAGCCATAGGGATCCAAAGCAGGGCTGGCCAAGCTCCCAAGAGTTGGGTGATAAATAACTAACAGCAAGGAACAGAGGGACATGATGCTCAGGGATCCTGGGTTTGGGAAGAATCATTCTGGCTTCGCTTGGGACAGTTCTTACCATTCTTCTTGCCTCAGTGTCTCCCCATAAGTTCAGACTTCTTGGAGTTTGGGTATGTGGTGAGGTGGGTTTGTACCCTGGAGTCAGTCTTTCCTTTCACATATTGTTGGGGCTGCCCTGAGCCAGTGACCGTGCAGGAGAGAATTGGAAACTAAAATATCAAAGGACAGAGATAGGTCCACTCCTCATTTTAAACATTGGCCCAGAGGCCTTTGGGAAGCAGATAGAAGCTTTACTGTTCTCAGTGCCTGAGACCCCCTGACTAGAGACACTTATTTTCTGCTAAGTCATTTTTGGTAAAAATTCTTTCATGTGCCATTTTTTTTTTTTTTTTTGGTGGTGCTAGGGATTGAACTCAGGGCCTTGTGCATGCTAGACAAGCACTCTACCACTTGAGCTATATCCCCAGCCCCCCACCTCCTGTTTTTAATCCCTGCATCTGCCCCCACCTGATCTGTGTTCCTTCTTTTACTTTTTTAGAAATTGAACCCAGTACCTCATGCCTGCTAAGTACACATTCTTACCTTTATTTTATTTTTATGTGGTGCCGAGGATCAAACCCAGTGCTCTGCATGTGCTAGTCGAGTGCTCTACTGCTGAGCTACAACTCCAGTTCCTAAGTACACAATCTTACTACTGAACTATACCTTCGTACACCCTAGCAAAGACTTTTTTAATAGACAAAGTACAGATTTGATGAAGGTGGAAGTAGCACTCTGTAAGGTACAGTGGAGTGGGCTGAGCAAGAGAGAGGCTCAAGGCCCAGTTACCATTTTTTAAAATAACAGTTTTATTGAGATATGGCTCACATGCTATATAGTTCACCCATTTAAAGTATATTATATTCAATGGGTTTTAGTAAATGCACAAAATTACTCAACTGTCACTATGTCTAATCCCAGAATCTTTTCATCATATCCCAAAGAAAGTCTCACATTCATTAGCACATACTCCCCCTTCCCTCTTGCTTCCCAGCCCCTGGCAACCTTTTATTTTTCTCTTTGATACTAGAGATTGAATCCAGGGGAGACTCTACCACAGAACTACAACCCCAGTCCTTTTTATTTTTTATTTTGAGACAGAGTCTCATTAAGTTGCCCTGATTGGCCTCAAACTTGAGATCATCTTGCCTCAGCCTCCTGAGTCACTGGGATTACAGGTGTGGGCTACTGTGTCTGTACCTTGGCAACTTTTTCTTTTTGGTGCTGGGTATTGAAATCAGGGGCGTCAACCACTGAAATACATCCCCCCTATTTTGTATTTTATTTAGAAATAGGGTCTCACTGAGTTGCATAGCACCTCGCTGTTGCTGAGGCTGGCTTTGAACTCACAATCTTCCTGCCTTAGCCTCCCTAGCTGTGGGATTATAGGCGTGTGCCACTGCGCCCAGCTCCTGGCAACTTTTAATCTGCTGTCTCTATGGACTTGCTCATTATGAACATTTCATACAGATGGAATCATGTACTGTGTGGTCTTGGGAACTGACTTCTGAATTCTTTCGCTTAGTTTAATGTTTTCTTTTTTTAATTAAAAAATAAAGTTACCTTTTATTTATTTTTAAATTTTTTATTGTTGGCTGTTCAAAACATTACATAGTTCTTGATATATCATATTTCACACTTTGATTCAAGTGGGTTATGTAGCTTAATGTTTTCAATATTCATCTTGTAGCCTGAATCAGCTTGTTCTTTTTTTAAAAATATTTTTTTTAGTTGTAGTTGGACACAATACCTTTATTTTATTTATTTGTTTGTATGTGGTGTTGAAGATTGAACCTAGGGCCTTGCATGTGTTAGGCGAGCGCTCTACTGCTGAGCCACAAGTCCATCCCTTGTTGATTCTTTTTAAGGCTGAGTAATACTCTGTGGTTATATATTTTGTTTCTCCATTCAGCCATTAATGAATACTTTCGGCTATTATGAATAATGCTGCCATGAACATTTATTAAAAGTTTTTGTGTGGACATGTTTTCACCTCGCTTGTGGTGAAACAGTACAGACACACATAAAAACACCTAGGAGTAGAATTGCTGGATCATATGGTAACTTTGTTAGCCTTTTGAGGAACTTCCAAATTATTTTCCAAAGCATCTGCACCATTTTACATTTTTTTGTTGTTAATATGTTTTAGTTGTAGATAGACACAATACCTTTATTTTATTTATTTTTATGTGGTGCTGAGGATTGAACCCAGGGCCTCGCTCTTGCTAGGTGAGCGCTCTACTGCTGAGCTACAACCCCAGCCTCCCATTTTACATTTCTAACAGCAGTGTACAAGGGTCTCAGTTTCTCTGAATCCTCACCAATCCTTGTTATTTATTTATTTTTGCAGTGGGGGAGGGGTGGGTACTGGGATTGAATCCAGGCCTTGTGCTTGCTAAGCACATGTACCAATGAGCTACATTCCCCAGTCTTCTGTCTTTGGGTGTGTGCATATGATGCTGGGAATTGAACCCATGGCTTCTACATATTAGGCAAGTGTTCTACTGCTATGTTACATTCCAACTCTATCCTCTATCTTTTAGATTGTAGCTATCTTAATGGGTATGAAGGGGCATCTTCTTGTGATTTTTATTACGTTTGTCTGGTGGCTATGGATGTTGAACATATTTTCATGTACTTGTTAGCCACTTTTTCTGCCAAGAAATGTTTATTCAGGTCTTTGCTCATTTTAAAATTTGGTTCTCTGCCCAGTGTGGTAGTGCATGCCTATAATCCCAGTAACTCAGGAGGTTGAGGCAGGAGGATCCCAAGTTCAAAGCCCAGCAACTTAGTGAGGCCCTAATCTAGTGAGACCCTGTCTCAAAATAAAAAAATAAAAAGGGCTGAGGATGTGGCTTAATGGTTAAGTGGCCTGGGTTCAATCCTCAGAATTAATGAATAGGTTTTCTTTTATATATATATATATTTTAGTTGCAGATGGACACACAATATCTTTTATTTATTTTTACATGGTGCTGAGGATTGAGCCCAGTGCCTCACACATGCGAGGCAAGCGCTTTATCACTGAGCTACAGCCCCAGCCCTAGGTTTTCTTTTTGAGTTGTAGGATTTCTTTATTCTGCCAATGCAACAAGAGATCTGATTTGCAAAAATTCTTCCCCATTTCATGGATTTTCTTTTTTTACTTTCTTGGTTTCTTTTGAAGCACAAAGTTCTAAGTTTGGATGAAGCCCCCTATTTTTTTCTTCTGTTGTTTATGTTTTTGCTGTCTTATTTAATAAGTCATTGCCTGATCTAAGGTTATGAAGCTTTCCTCTCATGTTTTCTTCTAAGGGTTTATAGTTGTAGCTCTTTCATTTATGTCTTTGGTCCAATTTGAGTTAGTTTTGTGTACGATGTCAGGTGGGATCAAACTCCAGTCTTTGCCTGTGGCTTCCTAATTTCCTAGCACCAATATTAAATTGTCTTCCCAGTTGTTCCAGAAGGAAAAAAACCACAATGACATCAGGGACTGGCAACTTGACTATGGGGGCTCCAGCAGAGTCCAGGGCAATCTTCCTGGACTTGACTGGAACTGGAGCTGCTTCAGACTCTGCTTCCTTGGTGCCTCATCCAGGATGCAGAGCTGTGTGCTACTTGGCCACCTGGACCTCTGGAGAAGCAGCTCTGAGGGGTCTCTCCCCTCAAATGTGTGTCCTTCACTTTTATGACATGAGAAACCCTTTCTCTTTTGGTCACACCTTCTGTCCACTTTAGAACTTCCTTGTTCTGAGAAACTGCAGCTCAGAGTCCTTGCAATGAGTCCACCTGCTCTCTTAGCAGGAACCCAGTCAGTATACAGAGGTGGGCTCTGTATAATGGATATGTATACTGTCTGTGTGTCCACTGGCTAGGACTTCCTATCTCCTCATGAGTCAGGACCTATCATGGTGGGCACCCTCCTGCCCTTGGGTTGGTGGTTGTCCCACCCTTGATTTTTGCAGATAACCCTCATACCATACCTTAGAAATGGATGCCTATTAGAGTTCAAGTTTTTTATTTCATATTAGTCCGTCCATCTTGTCCCCTAGATATCTGTACTTTGTGGAATCTTGAGGTTGCCACTTGCCTCTGCCCTGCCTTGGGTTCTGTACCCCTTACCATAGATATGGATCAGGTATGAGCCTAGAGAGTGCCAAAGTGATGCAGTCTGGTTCAATTTTGCTATCACCTGCTATACCCCTGCCATTTTGTTATTTGGGGGGACACCAGGGATGTTTAACCACTGAGCCACATTCCCAGCCCTTTTAATTTGAGATAAGTTCTTACTAAGTTGCTTAGGGCCTCACTAAATTGCTGAGGCTGGCTTTGAACTGGGGGTCTTCCTGACTCATCTTCTTGAGTTGCTGGGATTACAGGCGTGTGCCACCACACTCAGCTATCCCTAACATCTTGTGTTGGGTGGACCAGTAGGTGTCAGAAGTTTACCTTGAAATCACATAGCTGGACCTCTGTATGGCTAAGCTGGTCTCTTCCCTGCAGGGACCTATGGACTGAGCAATGCACTGCTGGAGACACCCTGGAGGAAGCTGTGCTTTGGCAAGAAGCTCTTCCTAGAGGTTGTGGAGCAGAGCCATGTGCTCCCCAAGGATACTCTTGTTAACCAGCTCCTGGATGTGCTCAACAACGAGGAGGCGTAAGTGGGCAGATTCTTCTGGGGTGACCACTCAGGCTTTGAGGCAAAGAAGAAGGCAGGTTCTGCTACTCTAAAGGCCTATGAAAGTAACCAGGTCTGGCTTCTAACTGCAGGAAACCTGAAAAATATGCTGTCCTTGGCCCCTCTGCTACTCCTCCGCTGTTCTCCTTGATTTCTGGTAGGGTCCTTTGATGATGAGAGATGGGGAAGTCAGGGTCATGTGGGCTGGGAGGCTCAGTGCTCATAGAGATCTGATGCAGGCTGGCCTGAGGCCAGAGCAGCTAGAGGTTCTCTTCTGTGTGAGAGGAGATATAGATAGAGCTTCCCACATGCTGTCTTTCTAGTGACTTTGGGGTTGAGCACTGGGCACAGGCATGCCTGTTCCTGGGGGCAGAGGAGCTCCCCCACCATCTTCCTTGCCCATAGGCCTCTGCACAAGGCACCCTCAGATACTGGACACCTAGGGCTTAGCTGTCCCAGCAGGGATCCTGGTGCTCATCAACCTGGATTTTGTTCTGAGTGTAGTCCCATATGTCCCTCCCACTGCCACACATACCATTTCCTGCCTAGACAACCCAGCATTCACTTGTGTACCCTGTTGGTCTCACTTCCCCCAGTGGACCCTCAGAGGACACCTCATAGTCTGTCTCCCGTTCTTTTCTCCCTGCCCTCCCACAACTGCCTCAAGGCCTCTGAACCATAACATTACCCTTTAGCCTCAGCATCACCACTCCCTTGGGGGAGCTGTGCTGGCCTAGCCCTCTGCTCAGCTCTAAGACCACATAGTCATTAGTCAGTGTGTCATCCTGGACAGAGCCATGATAGGCCCTGGCTGTTCTTATTGATTGCTGTAGCTCTAGTACCCCTTATGGTGGCTGGCAAGTCTCAATGCTTGAGTGGACTCCTGTTATGAAAAGCTGCTTGCAAAGGCTCTTCTAGGGACAGTAAGAGAATATATATGCTATCTGGCTGCCTGGGTTTCAGTGATGGAGTCATAAATAGATGAGTAGACAAAGATGTGAGGCATTGAGCATGAAAGGGAATAAACCAACACTTGTGGTTCTCCCCAGTTGCTTTCCAAGCCCAGGGAGCTCATTAGGAACCTGAAAGCTGTTAGCACTTTAGGTTAGTCCAGCTGACCATCCAGGACCATGGACAGGCATGATGACCTTTTTCCCCTCTGTCCTTCCAGACAGCTGCCAGACCCAGCCATTGAAGACCAGGGCCAGGAATATGTACAGCCCATACTGAGCAAGTATGCAGCTGTATGTGTGCGCTGCCCCAACTATGGAACCAGGTATGGAGGGGCTGGGGGTACCAGGTGCATCACCTTCCTACCCTAGTCTCCCACTTCCCAGGCTGGAGGAAGGATAAAGAAACTGAGCTTCCTTATGTTCCATAGCTAGCTAGGACCAGGCTATTTCCCTAACTGAGTAAATTCAAAGCCTTTGCCCTGTATAGACTGGGCTACAGGGGCAAGCAGACTCCACAGTTAAGGGCCATGCATAACATAAATGAGCATCAATTCCCAGGGGCTCTGTAGATCAGGGCTTGAGATCCCCCAGTCTTCAGCTGTCTTCTAGATGGGGCCATTGGGCTGCCCCCTTGGGGTCAGGCCCCCTTAGGGCCACCCTGTGAAAGTTTTGGGCAGGCAGGTGGGGCTCTTCCTGCAGAGGGAAGGCAGGGAAGGCTGGGGGTGTTTCAGACTAGAGGTGACAGGACTCACCCAGTGTGGGCATGCAGGCTTGGTCAGGAGGCCCAGATGCCTCTGACAAGCTTCTCTGTATCCTCAAGACTGGGATTGCTACTCATTTGTGACCTACCACAAAGCTGGAACCAAGTGCCCAGCACAGACCCCACACTTGGTGAATCTGCCTCTTCCTGCCTCCTGCCTCAGGTCTGGCATCAGCTGTGCCTCTGACAGGTAGGACTGGAGCCTAGGGATACAGGGTGAACACTGTTTTTCAGAACCAACACCATCATCCTTGTGGACGCAGATGGTCACGTGACCTTCACCGAGCGCAGCATGCTGAACAAGGACCCCTCCTGCTGGGAGACCAACACCTACGAGTTCATGTTACAGAGCTAATCCCCCACTGCTGGATATGGCCAGCAGGCTCTGGAGGCCCTGCCTTGAAGGCCAGTGTGGACAGCAACCTTCCATGACCATACTACACTGCTCGTGACTTGGCCAACATTCTCAGAGATGTCTAATTTGTTTGTTACCTATTCTTGTGTTGTATCCAGCTCAGGGTCTGCCTTTATGCCAATGGGGAGTGAGAGATTCTGATGCCAGGTCTAGGACAGAACCAGGTGTACCATATGTGTGTGACTATACTTGGGTCTACCTTGTCCACATGTAAAGGCACACATACACATGTAGGGCACATGCTCACACACATACACACCCCCATGTGCAGAGGCACACACATGCACACAAAATTGCATGTGTATACATATTTGAACACATACTCAAGAGTATACACACACATGTGCATGCCAAGCAGGCAGAAGAGAACCTTTTACCTTATACTTGTAGCCAATGGCTCTTTGCTCTGGTCAAATGTCAGGAGTAGGCATTTATTTAAATGGTGCCTTAAATGGTGTTTAAGTGGTGCATAGGGCACCACTGTGCTTTACTTCCCAACAACCATACCTGTTCCTGAGAGGATATGGGCCATATTTGCAATCATATACAAGGAGGACCAGAGAAAAACTCACTTTTACAATAGAAGCTCAGCCTCATTAGAGATCCAGTGGTTCTCCATATGCCAGAGAGTCCTGTGTGCATTGGACAGTCTTGAATGAGAGATGTGGCCCCACATATGCTGGGTGGTCTTTTGTGCACCAAGGGTCCTGTATGGTCAGGTCCATGGTGCAGGATGGTTGTGTGTGTTCCAGGGGCTTTCAGGCCACTACTTACCAGGTGGGTGTTATGGGTTCTGGGAAGGCCCATCTCAGCAAGGGAACTTAGCTAGTCCTTGCTGTCTCCCTTCTTGGTACATCAAACTTTATAGGAATCTGAACTTGAATGTGAGCTGTTGATAATAAAGCTTTGAAGTTGTGGTGAGTAAATGGGTTTCAAGATCCTTCCTTTGTGTGATGGTGGTGACAGGAACTCCTGTGGTGGTACCAATACCCATACGAGGCTCTTTCTGCCTCCTTTTGTCACAACCTCCTCAACACTGTAATGGAGGCCTCTGGGTCAGGCTATCTGTCTATGGGTATAGGCCAGGGTGCAAGAGACCCACTCATATATAAGGGACCCAGGTGGTGATTACTGGATGAGTTACCCACCACCAGTGATTCGTTAGGAGGAGCCCTTGGAGGGAGAGGCATGGAAATGGTGGAGTTGAGGGCCAGAGGACAAATAGAGTCAGCCTCAGCCATGGCACTGGGGAGGTAAAGTCTCAAGCACTGGCCATGCATAAGTCCCACATATCCATTGCTTAGCTCCATGCTTCCTTTTGCCTTTGGAGTTGACCTGACTTGGCCTTCTCAGAGCAATGAGTTTAGAGTGGATGTGGACCTGCGCTGCGTATCCCAGCCTGGGTATGACAAATTGCTAGTCCATCTGGGAATGAGTAGGGGCCCAGCTTCCCTCTTCCTGTCTCCTCCATGCCCCTGGGTCTGAGGCCCTCCATGGCTCACTTTAAACTCAGAAGAATAGTGGTTAAGCCAGGCCAGGCTTAAAGGGGGCTTCCAGTGGTGACAAAATACACATCTAGGCCAAAGGTCTCAAGACCCATGTGTCTGGCAGTCAAGGCTCCCAACCAGCCCCACTGCCAACATTCTCCATGTGCCTCAGTGGGTTTTCCCCTGTCTTGTACCCATGTTCTATGCCAGCACTTCCCCCCAGCCAGGTACACTGCTCTCATGCAGAGCCTCCCTATCTAGAACCTCCCTGTTCATCTCTGTCCTAGAGACTGGGTCTGCCCAGGGAAAGCTTTTTAAACACTTGTCATGAACCCCTCTGCCCCCAGCCTACCCAGGGCTCCCCAATAGCCTAGACCTTCTGAGGAAAGGGCAGATGTAGATTCTATTGTTATGGGTTGAGTTCTGCCCCCAACTCCCCTGCCCCCCCCCCCCAAAAAAAAATTCTAACTCCACTATCTAGAATGTGACTATTGGGAGATAACGTCTTTCCATATATAATCAAGATAAAATTAGGCTGGGTCCTAATCCAAAGTGACTGTTGTCCTTATCTGAAAAGAAATTTGGATACAGCATACAGTGCATGAAGTTCTGCTATACCAGAATAAGCAGGGAGTATACCAGAAGCTGAGAGAAAGACCTGGATCATAGCTTCCTTAGAGTGTTCAGAGAGAGTATAGATCTGCTGCCTCTTCATCTCAGACTTCCAACCTCCAGAGCTGTGAGACAACAGATTATTATTTAAGCCATTCTGTCATATTTTGTCATGTCAGCCCTAGCAGACTAAAATAACTGTGATCCTTACTTTGTAGGTGGAGAAATAGGTTTGAGGCTTAAAGGGGGCTTCTTAATAGTCCTCTACTTAATAGTCCTCCACTTCCCAGAGAGGTGGGAAGGCACAGCCATGAGGCCAGGATGGACAGGACAAGGACTGGTGGCACCTCAGGGGGCACATACCTCTGTAGGCCAATGGCCAACCCACAAAGTTCTTGCCACAATGCCTTGCACCCCTCTCACCTTCACTTTATGTGCCCAGGCCCTTTCCATTTCTCATAGTCATAATTCTTGCCTGAGGGGCTTTACATTCACTATCCCCTGTGCCTGAAAAATCCCTCTTGTAGACATCCAAACCATGCCATCCTTTACTTTCCACAGGTCTTTGCTGAAGTCTCTGGGGGTGGGGGGAAGGTACAGGTACCTGTTTACAGTTAGTTGTATTCTTTTTTTTTTTTTTTTGGTATCTTAGATACCAGGTATAGCTCAGTGATAGATTGCTTGCATCGCATGTACAAGGTCTAAGTTCAATCCAGCACTGTAAAAATAAATAAAGTTGCAATTTTCCCTGTTAGTTCCTGCTCTATTTTCCTGTATGGCAATCAGCATTGCCTGATGTACATATTTTGATCATTTTCTTGTGTGTCTCTTCATTAGAACTAGTGCTTCATGGAGGCAAGGGCCTTTCTTGCTTATTGTTGTATCTTGATGCCTAGGCTAGATAGACATTCAAACTAAGGATAACAGCACTTTTGCTTTCCAAGCCTCCTTCTATTTAGATTAACTCCTTGAAGTAAAGTTCTTGTACTGTTAGAAGTATACAGGGGCCATTGGAAGCCAATGTCTTCTAGAAGTGTTTTGGACATGGCCAGATAGGTAGACCATGGCACGGCATAGCTAGTCTCCTGCACTTGTCATCAGACGTATCTGACTTGAGTCTCCAACATGGGTCCTCTTCTCTCAGGCAAATGTTACTTGTCCCCTTCTTGGATACCCCTTCCCTCATGAGTTACTTCTGCCCCCTGCCCCCTAAATGGCCAAGTTGAAGAATAGATGTGGAGGTTAGAGGTATGGGGCTGACCTTTGTAGAGGTGGGTCTATGAAAGAACATGGCCAGCCCATGAATGAAGCATGGCCTTGAGTCTCATCCCGCAGGCCTGGGCTCTGGCCTTCCACCACAGACTTCCCAAGACCATATCTTTTTGTCTTATCTGCTAGCAGGTGGCATTGTCAAGGCCCTCGAACAGAAACATGGCTCATGGGTGAACCAGATTGAGGTGAAAGAATCCTCTCCTAGCCTGGGACGGAGCTTCCAGTCAATGGGTCTTTGTGACTATGATGCCAGTTCCTATGTTGGGAGTTCCCCCAGTTGGTTCCAGGTTGTATGGGAAGCTGAAAGTGTGTAATCCTGAGGTCTCAAGTCTTATTGGGACATTTTGGACTCAACAACCTACCAGGTGTGGGAGGTTGCTATGATTGATGGCAGTGTGCAGAGTTCCCAAGGGCTTTGGCTGGCCTAGCCACAGGGAGGCTTGTGTGCCCTGGCTGAGTCCAGCAGCCAGACCCTCACAGTAGGATGGTTCCTGCTATGAGATGCTAGATGCTGAGAGAGGCAGGTAGAGAGGGAAAGTCCTAAGCAGGGCTCCAGCTTCATCACCTCGATACCACCTTCCTCCATTTTCTTTCTTTCTTTATTCTTTTTTTTTTTTGTGTGTGTGTGTGTTTGTGTACTGAGGATTGAACCCAGGAGTGTTTAACCACTGAGCCACACACTCAGCCCTATTTATTTATTTTTATTTTAAAGACAAAGTCTCCCTAAGTTGCTTAGGGCCTCACTAATTTGCTGAGCCTGGCTTTGAACTTGAAATCCTCCTACTTCAGCCTCCTAAGTTGCTAGGATTATAGGCATGCACCTGGCTCCTTAACCTTTTTCACATAAAAATTATTTCAACTTAATAAAACAACTAAAAAGTAAAGAATTCCATTATCTTTCATTCAGTTTCTCAAAATGTTAAAATAGCACCAAACCACAGTAAAATGATTATAACCAGGAAACTAACATTGACACTGTTAAAAGATGATTCAATGATACTCATTAAATCATGGTAAGGAAGACTATTCAGGATCATCACCATAGTTTGGGACCACCACAGTAGGATCTTCCAATGGGAAGGATACAACTCTGAATACAGCCTGGACAAGTGGAAGTTTGTCTCTAAGGAGCAGAGTAGGGGGTCACTGAATGGAAAATTGCTGAGAGAAAATATAGGGATGTAGGGGGATTTCAGCAATCTAACAGGATTCTTGCTAAAGGCAGGCCAGGTGATCAGTCACCACCTGGAGGATGGTGAAGATCCTGATCAGATATAAAAAACTGGGGGAAGAGGGTGCTTGCCAGATTAACTTAGCAGAGTCCTTAGCAAAAACTGGAAGAACACAAATGGGCTTCGGAGAAGGTTCAGAAGCCTGACTAAAGTTTGGCCAAGTGAAGAATCTTTCAATAGAATAGAATTAACTAATCAATAGACTTTATTTGAATTTTACCACTTATCCCACTATATCCATTTTCTGAGCCGGGATCCTATTTAGGATCTGGATTTCACATTGCACTTAGTTGTGTCTCTTAATTGAAGATGACTCCTCAGTCTGTCTTTGATTTGAATCATCTTAACACTTTGAAAAAGTGCTTGCTGGTAATTTTACAGAATGCTCCTAATTTGGGGTATGTCTGATCTTTCTTCATTCAAGTTTTGCTTTTGGGCAGAAATACCTACAAGTGAATCTATTCCCTTTTCAGGAGACCCACAATATATCTGTCCATTGATTAGTGCTTTTTTCTCCTATCCCCCTTCATTTTAAAAAAAATATTTTTTTATTTGTAGATGGACACCATAGCCCTATTTTATTTATTTATTTTTACGTGGTGCTAAGTATCAAACCCAGCGCCTCACACATGCTAAGGCAAGCGCTCCACCACTGAGCCACAAACCCAGCCCCTCCCCAC